ATTCTGCCTAGTTTTCAGATGAGTTAATATGGACTGTTGTCCCTCTCCCCTAAGAAAACAGTTTCAAAATTAATGGCGAGAATGACATTACTTTTGATAAGATACATAGCAGTGGAATATCTGGCTTTATTAGACTTCCTAAGTAGTTGATCATTTCATTTCTAATCAATCCTATGTTCTGAGTTTTAATGTTAAACTAGTCTGTAGACCACCTGGAGCTAGTTACCCCTAGAGGTGACCTTCTACTGCTGGAGAGCGGTAAGACATCAACCATGCAGGGAGCATTCCAGGAAGATTGAGTCGGAGACCTGATCTTTGGTCTTCATCCTGTTACTCGCTCCTGTTAGAATAGGTCAAAATTCTCCCTGTCAGCCAGCAAGCCTTCCCGTTTCATCTAGAACAGAGTTCTAAACATGGTGTTTGAGGCTCCCCAGAATCTGATTCCATCCTACCCTTCCGTTACTGCAGTGCCCTGCTGTTTCCTGTTCCTCAGTTATCTTCTTGGCCCAACTCTGTCTTTGTTTATGCTTTTCCCTTTATCTAGATTATTCTCATTCCTTTTCATCCAATCCTAGACTTAATTCAGTCAACCTTTTAGGTCCCCAGTACAACTCCATATCCTCCTTAAACCCTCTCCCTGTCACTCAAGAAGGAAATAATGTTTCTTCACATTTTGTACATAGCTTTCCTTGGTAGCTTACAGACTTCTAAATGCTTTGAGTGCTGACAGAGTGTGGTGTTTAACGGATTTGTATCTGTGTGATGCTTCATATGGTGACTCATTTACACAGCAGGCTTGTCATCGAGTGTCTTTTTGACGGAAAGCAACCTGACAGAGCCCAGCCTTCAGCAATATTTTTTGTTTTTCAAACTCTGTGGTATGACCCATTTGCTATTTGTGAAAGCAGTTTTGGGACCCAAGAACATAATTTTTTTAAAAAATGAAGTAAACTAGAGCATAACATGGGTAACCATTGTATACTAAAACATTTGTTTCTAGTTTTGTATTTGCATACTTACTAGGTTGTGGTGTAGAATGTATTTGTTACTATAGGTTATAGTAAAAAATCTTTGAAGAACACTGCAGTAGATTTTAATCTATAATAATTTTTCAAATTTTGAGACTAGAAACTTGGAATTTTAATTAAACTCAAAAGTACATAAAACTTTGGTATTTATTAAAATTTTCATTAAATGCTTTCACATGATTGGTATTATCCTCTCTGCTAATTATCTACCATATTACCCATAAATGAATAATTTTTTATTTCTTCAGCATCTACTACATAATTTTTGTTTTAGATCTGGGGTGTATAAATGGGTTATAAGTATATAAATCAAAACTTTTTATTTTAATGCCTTCGGAGGATACAAACAGTTTTTGGGCTGGACTTTCAGTGTACCACCCACCCACACCTGTGCACATTGTACCCAACAGGTGATTTTTTTGTCTTTCCACCCCTTCTCACCCACCCTACTTCTGAATCTCCATTGTCTATTATATCATTCTCTATGGCTTTGCATATCCTTAGTTTAGTTCCCACTTAAAAGTGAGAACATTTGGTGTATGGTTTTCTGTTCTTGTGTTAGTTCGCAATTAGGATGATGTTCTCCAGTTCAATCCAAGTTCCTGTAAAAGACATTATTTCATCCTTTTTTATAGCTGAATAGTATTCCATAGTGTATATATACCTTATTTTCACTGTCCACTGATCAGTTAATGGGCATTTTAGTTGATTTCACATCTTTGCAGTTGTGCTACAATGAACATGCTGGTGCAGGTGTCTTTTTTTAACCTAATGACCTCTGTTTCTTAGGGTAGATACCTAATAGTAGAATTGTTGGATCAAATGGTAGATCTACTTTTAGTGGTTTGAGGAATCTCCATACTGCTTTCCATAGAGGGTGCATTAACTTATGCTCCCACCAACAGTATATAAGTGTTCCCTTTTCTCTGCAACTGCATCAGCATCTATTGTTTCTTAATTTTTTAATAATGGCCTTTCAGACTGGTGTAAGGTGATGTCTCATTGTGGCTTTAATTTGCATTTCCCTGATGATGAATGATGTTGAACACTTTTTCATATGGTTGTTGGCCATCTGTATATCTAATCATGGGAGATGTCTATTAATGTCATTTGTCCACTTTTAATGTTTTTTTTTCCTTGCTGTTTGCTTGAGTTCTTTGTAGATTATGGATATTAGTCCTTTGTCAGATGTATGCTTTATGAATATCTTCTTCCATTCTGAAGGTTGCCTGTTTGCTCTGTTGATTATTTCTTTTGCTGTGCAGAAGCTTTTTATTTTAATGAAGTCCCTTTTAGTTATTTTTGTTTTTGTTGCATTTGCTTTTGGAGTTTTAACCATAGATTCTTTGTGTAGGCTGATGTCCAGAAGATTTTCTCCTTGGTTTTCTTCTAGGATTTGTATGACTTCACGTATGACACATAAGTCTTTAACCCATCTTGAGTTAATTTTTGTATATGGTGAGAGACAGGGGTCAAGTTTAATTTTTCTTCATGTAGCTATCCAGTTTTCCTAGCACCATTTGTTGAATAGGGCATCCTTTCTCCAGTTATGTTTTTGTCTGCTTTGTCAAAGATCAGTTGGTTTGGGTATTTGGGTTTATTTCTGGATTCTCTATTCTGTTCCGTTGGTCCGTGTGTCTGTTCTTACACCAGGACATACTGTTTTGGTTACTGTAGTACTGTAGTAGCCTTGTAGTATAATTTACTTGTAGTATAATTACTGTAGTAGCCTTGTAGTATAAGCCAGGTCATGTGATGCCTCCAGCTTTGTTCTGTTTGCTTAGGATTGCTTTGGCTATTCTGCCTCTTTGGGGGTTCTATATGAATTTTAGGATTGATTTTTCTAATTCGTGGAAAATAATGTTGGTAGTTTAATAGGTATTGTGTTGAACCTGTAGATTACTTTGGGTAATATGGTAATTTTGACAGCGTTGCTTCTGTCAACCCTTGAGGATGTGGGTTTTTTTGTTGTTGTTTTTTTAATTTGTGTCTGCTACAGTTTCTTTCACCAGAGTTTTATAGTCCTCCTTGTAGAGATCTTTCACCACCTTGGTTAAATATATTCCTAGGTATTTTTGCTTTTTGGCTGCTGTTGTAAATGGAATTGAGTTCTTGATTCGATCCTCAGCATGGTCACTGTTGCTGTATGGCAGGGCTACTGACTCGTGTATGTTGATTTTGTGTCCGGAAACTTTGCTCAGTTCATTTATCAAATCCAGGAATCTTGGAGGAGCGTTTGGGGTTCTCCAGGTATAGGGTCTTATCATCGGCGTACAGAGGGAGTTTGATTTCTTATTTTCCATTTTGGATACTCTTTTTTTCTTGCCTGATTTCTCAGACAAGGGCTTTCAGGGCGGTGTTGAGCAGGAGTAGTGGAAATGGGCATCCTTCCCTTGTTCCAGTGCTGAGGAGGAAGGTGCTCAACTTTTTTCCAGTCAGGATGACTTGGCTGTGGGTTTGGCATACATGGCAGGGGTCCACAGCCCCTGGACTACAGACCGGTACTGGTCCATGGCCTGTTAGGAACCACACTGCACAGCCGGAGGTGAGTGGCAAGTAAGCAAGTGAACCTTCATCTGTATTTACAGCTGCTCACCATGACTCGTGTTACTGCCTCAGCTCCACCTCCTGTGAGATCACCAGTGGCATTAGATTCTCATAGGAGCGTGAACTCTGTTGTGAGGTACGTGTTCAAGGGGATCAGGTTGTACACTCCTTATGAGAATCTAATGACTGATAATCTTAGGTGGAACTGAGGCAGTGTTCCTAGCGCTTTGGAGCAGCTGCAAATACAGGTTAGCATTAGCATTGAGGTTCGACTGCACATCTCCCCACCCACCCCCAGGCTGCGGAAAATTTGTCTTCCACGAAACTGGTCCCTGATGCTAAAAGGATTGGGGATCATTGGTATATGACTTTTATTATTTTGAGAAATGTTCCAAAACATGCCTATTTTGCTAAGTGTTTTATAAATCTTATTTATTTATTTATTTATTTATTTTTGAGAAAGCAGGATTTATTGAGAGGACAGAAAAACTCCCACAGTGGGAGAGGACCCGCTGGGGTTGCCCTTATAAATAATTTTTAAATGGAATTTTTTAAAAAAGTTTAGCAGATTATCACAAATATTTCCCTAAAATTTCTATTGTTTTCTAAATTTATATTTATTGTACATTTATCAGCTTAGATTGCTTATATTAGAAGTATGTTGATGAAAAAAGTACTTTTTTTTTTTGAGTTGGAGTCTCACTTTGTTGCCCAGGGGGGAGTGCAGTGGCTCACTCACAGCCACCCCAGTGTCAACCTGCTGTGCTCCAGTGATCCTTCTGCCTCAGCCTTCCAAGTAACCGGAACTACAGGCGTGTGCTACCACACCCAGCTAATTTTTTATTTTATTGTAGAGACATGGTCTTGCCAAGTTGCCTGGCTGCTCTCGAACCCATGGACTCAGGCAGTCCACTCGCTTCGGCCTCCCAAAATGCTGGGATTACCGGCTAAGCCACTGAGCCCAGCCTACAGTACTTTTTAATATATTGGAAGAGAATGAATTTTAACAACTAAGAATTTGTGATTAATGATAGTGAAATTCCATTTTGCAAAAGTAAGTTCATTTTATACAGTACTCTAATATATGAAAAGAAATTTTACTTAGACAACTTGATTTTGAGACTGGTTGGTTATTCTTCGTAATTAGCCCGTAAGAATCATGTTAAATATTTCTTCCAAAGAGAGTAAAAATTTGAATCTTCCAAATCAATATAGGCATCCTAAATGATGATGTGTTGCTTTCAGACAGCCTTGAGTTAAACATGCATTATTGATATGTGGAAGCAATCACTAATAGAATTGCTTAGCTATTTGTGGTTGACTTTGTTTAAGTTCTCTATTCAAACCTTTTCTGGAGCTCTGAAGTTTTATAACTTTCTGGAGTTACTGTTAATGCTTGTGTCGTTTTTCTTCACTTCTCTTCAGGGTCAATATAGACCTTCTGATTTGTTGTGTCCTGAGACATATGTTTGGGTACCCATCGAACAGTGCCTGCCTTCACTTGAACACTCCAAGTACTGCCGTTTCAACCAGGACTCAGAAGCAGGTATGTTTGGAGCAGAACTCAAATGGAAATCATTGGCTTTCTTTTTTACAATCTACATGACTGTGGCTCATGTAATGTTGCATTTTGTTGTCTCCTTGAAAAGTTGTTATGAAATAAAGAGTGACTCCTTCTTACATTTGATGATACCCTGGAATCTGATCAAGAATAGCCTTCCGGACCCAGCTGACTCATATGCTAGTCACCTTAGGGTTAGCCGCTGGATTTCTTGATATTTAGATTTCATAGAATAATCAGAGTTTTAGAGTTCCCACATCCTAAGTTATTAATAAGAATTGATAGTTTCATTCTAAGTGAAGTTGCATCTTATTGCTCAAACAGATATGCTGCTTAAAACATTAAATGTGTCAATCAGTTTTTACAGTTAGGCTCAAAGTCAAAGAAGAAAGCATATTCTTATGTATATAGAATGTACATAAAGAATACTCTTATGTATTCTTTTCTCACTCCTTGCTCTTTTCAAGGTCAGGTTATATCAGTCCCATAGAGTGAGAATGGCTGAACAACTTATTGAAATATTTCATATTCATATATAAAACTTTATGTTTCTTCCAACTGAGTAGTATTATGATCTCCAATTTGTTTCTAACTCCAAAACTTGTGACACAAGTTCACCTTCTCTTTTTCCTTCTTGATCTATTTTAAGGATTGCTTTTCTTTTTATATAATATATGGAGATTAGACAGATCACAAATTCTCCTTGTTTTATAAAGTTGAGCAGGTGGCCAAATAATTTCCATGCACAAATGGACATTAAAATAAATATTTATTCATGTTAATAGATTTTAAAATTATTTTCCAAAATAAGCACTAATGAGCATTTCATGGCAAAGAAGATTTAAAATCTCATAGTGACTGTTTTTATCAAGAGCATACTTTATCCTGGTGAGTGATGAATATATTGTGTATTCTTTTCCTGTAATCTTGTGAGTTCCATTTCTTAATGGCAGTAGCTTTAGCTATTAATATTCATTGTTTAGAATTCGTTTACAAAACTCACGTGTAAATTTCTTTGAGAATAATGTCTCGAAGAAATTGAAGATCCTTTTTCATATGCTGAATCTTTGGAACTTTCAAGAGAATACCATGCAGTTTTATCAGTATTGAATATCACAGTCCAGACACTGTTTGAAATCAGACTTATATCCTGTGGTTTTAGGAAATTAAAATGCAGTTACATGCTGGAATGTATTGAGCCTGCTGTGAAACATGGTCATTTGAGGTTTAAATGGCAATCTGTGAGAAACTGCTCGCTTCTCTGGGACCAGTTTTACTTTTTCATGACCCGAACTCTACTCAGAGAAAATACAGAGCTTAATATGGGCAATATTGTTAGTCGGCATGGTGCTTTTTTCACTAAATCTTGTTTCTCTTCCCAGCTGTTCAGTAGTTAAATTACTCTGCAGAAGGCACCATTGATAACCCTAGGCCTCAGTTAAGCAAAATATGACTTTAAGGTGCATCAGTGGCCAGTTGTAAGAAAACTTACATTTCCCCCATCCTTTTGCATGCATTGTTTTTGTGATACTATGGAGGGAGGGATTGACAAGCTGAAATATCTTGGAAAATTCTAAAGAAATCTTCTTGTTCGTAAATAATGAGGTCTTTTGTTTTTCAGTTCAGGATTTCTGCCTACTCCAAAGAAAGGAGGTTGGAAGTTTCTCAAATTATTTTTAAGTAAAAGTCTGTTAGATTATTTTTTAATTTGACAGTTGAATAGTATAGATTTCAACAATTCTGTACCATAGTTATATCTTACTTTTTTTGTTTAAATTATTTTTTAAAAATATTTAATGACAACCCTAGTAGAAAATATACCCAAATGCATAAATCCACTACTAAAAAGAGTAGTAAAGTTCGTGAGGTAACAGTAATTATTGGTAATACTTTCGTGCTCTCTTTCGGTTTTTTTTTTCTTTTTCTGTGCATGTATTTGCATTTAAAAAACAAAAGAATCATGTTACACGCTTTTGTTGTTTTTACTTAATATTTTGTGCTACTTTTTGCTTTTGGTGAGGTAAAAACTACTTGACCATTAATTTGATCATTCAGCAAACAAATGCTACTACCATGTGTGACAGGCAGGGTATAGCATAGATATTTTACAGAAAAGTATCATTGAAAGGGTAACCCCTCTATTTTGGAGTTGACTTTAGAGCCATAATAGATAAACTGTGATTTGATTTGACTCTTAATGTGGGCAGACATTATATTATTTCTCATTGGTATTAAAGTTCCTGGTTCCAGATTTTAAAAATAAAATAAAACTTTATTGAGCATATGCTGATTCTCTAGCACCATCCTGTGTTTTCCCATATGTTACTCATTTTATACTGAGAAAATTATTGAATGTTTTGTATTGTCCCCTCAAATATTACTTATTGCAAAAATAGCAGCTAACATTTGTTTTTATCAGAGGATAAAAATAATTTTTAATCTAATATTCTATAATTTTATAATGCTTTTTAGTATTCATCTCAAAGGGTCTAATTAGAATAATTTTTTATTTACATTTAAAATTATGGTCGCATACATATTATCACAAATTAGTCTAGATTTCATTCTCTTCTATACATACTTAGAAATGTTTGCAAATAATTTCCTAATTTGTCTTAAATGTAGCTAAGTTACCCAAACCAGGTAAAGATCCAGCAAAGAAAGCGAACTCCAGGCCAATATCCCTGATGAACATAGTTGCAAAAATTTTCAGCAAGGTACTGGCAAATCAGATCCAACAACACACCTCAAAAATCATCCACCATGACCAAGTAGGCTCCTCCCAGGGATACGGGGCTGGTTCAAAATCTGCAAGACCATAAATGTAATTTGGTACATCAACAGATACAAAAACAAGATCCACATGATTATATCATTAGATGGAGAAAAAACTTTTGATAAAATCCAGCATCCCTTTTGGTTAAGAACCCTCGAGAACCTAGGCATAGAGGATACATACCTCAAAATAGTAAGCGCCTTCTATAATAAACCCACAGCTAACATATTGCTCAATGGACAGAAATTGGAAACATTTCCCCTGAAAACTGGAACAAGATAAGGCTGTCCATTCTCACCCCTCCCATTCAACATAGTGTTGGAAGTCCTAGCTAGAGCAATCAGACAAGAGAAGCAAATCTGGGGTATCCAAATAGGAAAAGAAGTCAAGTTATCCCTCTTTGCTGATGATGTGATCCTATACTTCGAAAATCGAAGAGAATCTGTCAAAAACTTCCTTGTACTGATAAGGGACTTTGGCAGAGTCTCAGGGTACAAAATAAACATGCAAAAGACAGTCTTTTTTTTTTTTTTTTGAGTTGGAGCCTCACTCCATCGCCCAGGCTGGAGTGCAGTAGCATGCTCACTGCCACCCCAGCATCAACCTGCTGGGCTCAGGTGATCCTTCCGCCTCAGCCTTCCAAGTAGCCAGAACTACAGGTGCTACCATGCCCTGTTAATTTTTTTTGATTTATTGTAGAGATGAGGTCTCACCAAGTGCCCAGGCTGTTCTTGAACCCATGGGCTCAGGCAATCCCCTCACCTAGGCCTCCCAAAGTACTGGGATTACAGGTTTGAGCCACCGCACCCAGCCGACAGTCCCATTCTTATATACCAACAACAACAGGCAGAGAACCAAATAAAAAGCACAACCCAATTCACAATAGCTTCAAAAAAAAAAAAAAATGAAGTACCTCGGTATCTTCCTAACCAGAGAAGTAAAAGATGTTTACAACGAAAACTACAAAACACTGCTCAGACAAGTCAAAGATGACACAAACAAATGGAAAAATATTCCATGCTCATGAATTGGAAGAATTGACATTGTTAAGATAAATAACCCAAGGCAATCTACAGATTCAACGCGGTAACCATTAAATTACCAACATCATTCTTCTCAGACCTGGAAACAACAATATAGAAATTCATTTGGAAACATAAACAACTATGAATAGCCATTTTGTTTCTTTTGTTTAGCAAAAGAAACAAAATGGGGCCGGTCTCGGTGGCTCAGCCTGTAATCCACGCTTTGGGAGGCCGAGGTGAGTGGATTGCCCGAGCCCACAGGTTCGAGACCCACCTGGGCAACTTGGCGAGACCCCATCTCTACAATAAATCAAAAAATTAGCCGGGCATGGTAGCGCGCACTTGTAGTTTCAGCTACTTGGAAGGCTGAAGCGGAAGGATCACCGGAGCCCAGCAGGTCGAGGCTGTGGTGGCCGGAGCGGCCACTGCACTCCAGTCTGGGCAACAGAGTGAGACTCCAACTCAAAAAAAAAAAAAAAAGAAAGAAACAAAATGGAAGGTATCACACTTCAGACTGTAAACTTTCTTATAAGGCTATGATAAAACAACTTCATATCGGTACAAGAACAGGCATATAGACCAATGGAACAGGATAGAGATTCTGGAAGCAAAACATCAATTCCTCAACCAACTCATCTTTGACAAAGCCTCCAACAACAACCACTGGGGAGAGGAGAACCTATTCGGTAAATGGTGCTGGGAAAACTGGCTGATCACATGCAGAAGATTGAAACAGGACCCCCTGTTTCAAAGGGCTCTCTCTTTTCTTCTTTATCGCCTCCATTCTTCTTTCTTGCTGGCCTGGCTGCCTGACATTTTTCTATACTTCTATAGTTCCTCTAGCATATGCCCACAGAAAAAGTAAGTCCCACTTGGACCTTGATTGTCTATGGAAGAACCAAGTTTAGAAAGCACTCTGTCCTGTGTTCATTTGCCTATTTCTCCAAACCTGGCATCTCTTTCTGAGTGTTATATTGATAGTTCCTCACAAGTGTATACCTCAGCCAAGATGTCATTTTAATCAGTGGGAAACAGTGCCTAATGAGAAGGCAGACTTTCTAGGGCAGACTTGCTAGGGCCCCTTAAAAGTGTGCTGTGGTGTGCTAACTTAGTCAAGTGGACAGTATCATTCCTAATTATTTTAGATGCAGAATTCAGCTCTTAATTCTTTTAATTATTCCTGTGGTAAAATTGTTTTCAGATCTACAGTTGAGGTTGAACTACCCACTTGATGTTGCAAAATGAATGATGCTCCTTACCAGACACTTAGTATAACATATTCTTTGTTGCCAGTAAAGATGATAGTGCTTGGATGTAGCCAGCTGAAGATAGAATCACTTGTATGCTACTACATGGTGTAAAGGAAGCAGGCTCTTGTTTTGATAAACAAGAAACTGTCCTAGAAATGTGGCTCTTATATTTGGTGAATATGAGAATGCATTTAATATGGAAAATGTAGAATATTTCAGACTCCTAATTTTTCAATTTACTTTTAATCCCTTACAAACATCACTTTATATTATTACTATCTGTTTTTTTCCTACTTACCTCCTTTTCAAAGATATACTTTCTTATCCAAAATTTAGTGTGGTGCTACTATAACTCTTGGTTGAATAAATAGAATCTAGGATTTCTTAGTTTATTTGGTCTTTTAATGAGGACACTAAGGAACAAAAAACCAAGTCTTTGCTATGGTATTTGTGCATGTAACCGAAATATTATGTTTACTAGCATTTTTTATTTAAAAATGTGAGAACTAAGTCCTCTTAAGGTAAACTTCAGTCATTGTTCTAGTTTTTAAGAGTGTTTTAAAGACAGTCTTGCAAAGAAGTTTTAAAACATACTATTTTATAAATTTTTATCAAGCGTTGCTCATTAAGCTACATGTGAAGAGTAAGTCAGTGACTGAAAATTGTCAGAGACAGGTTTGTAAAGTAGGCTTAAGATTTCCATTTAGCTACTAAAGAAACATTTCTTTCTCTTTTCTTTTTCTTGTAGAATAGATTTTAAAATTTCAGAGTAAGTGTCAGGTACCGTGGCTCACACCTATAATCCAAACACTTTGGGAGGCCTAGGTAGGAGGATCTCTTGGGGCCAGGAGTTCGAGACCAGCCTGGGCAACATAGCAAAACTCCATCTCTACAAAAAAATTTTACAAAATTTGCTGGGCATGGTAGTGTATGCCCATAGTCCCACTATTTGGGAGGCTAAGGTAGGAGGGGATCACTTGAGCTTGGAGTTCAAGGTAACAGTGAGCTGGGATTGTGCCGCTGTACTGCAACCTGGGTGACGGGTGAGACCCTGTCAAAAACAAAACAAATTCAAAATAAGCAATTCTTTTTATAGTCACCCAGTTTTTAGTTTTATTTAATTTTATAATAATAAAAATCATTTTAGCATGGTCAAAAATATCAGGATGCCTTAGAACATGTCTATAAATGTTAGTTCTACTATGTTAGAGTGCTGCTTTGTTTGCTTGAAAAAGGGACATTTCTATATCATGTTGTACAAAATGCCAATTAAAGAGTACAAATGAAGCCTGTACCTGTTGTTTAAATGCTGGCTAAACCATGATGTTTTGTTGACTTTATGACACATCAGTTTTAAGTTTTTCTGTTTTATGTGCCACTGAGAAAAGTGTTGCCAGCGAGACTATCGACTCCATCAGTGGGAATATGCTTGTGGATTTCAGAGATGTCGAAGTGTCCAAAAGTGGGGATCTTAACAGAGAAGAACCATGATACGTTCTGTGTATTGTCATGCCTGGCAAAGCTACGGGGTACTCAGGAGATTTGGTTTTTGTATATTAGAGGACTTTTATGACATGTTAATTCTAAGCATTAAACATATGCTAGAGGGAGTGTGTTTTTATATATTAGAGTCTGAGGGTATAGATTCAGGCGCTTTTATCTAAAAATAGGATTACCACTACTGATTAAAGATAGTAATAGAATTCTTAAAATACTTTGATCGGTACTACAGGTACTGTATTTTTAAAATTTTGAGAAGGCATGTAACTACTTCACAAGGATATTTTATTGTAATTAAAGTAAAAACTTTTTACTACCTAAAAAGCATTAAAATTCTGTCAACATTAATGATCTTCATGCTTACTGTTTATAAACAAATTTGAAATGAAAATAAATTTGTTTGCTGATGGAAAACAGCAATAAATGTAGAGAATTTAAAAACGTAACCAATAAATTCATTGACTTATGACAGTTGATGGAATCATTAAATATTAAATAAATTTAAAAGAAAGCAAAAGATAGTATCCCAGTATATCATCAGCCTAAAAATCTGCATTTGAATGAACATTTTCCTACCTTGTGAATTACCAATAAAATTTTTGGTTTAACTGTGGGTTTTTAATAACAGAACACAAATCATTAGATTAACTGAGAAAAATTCTCAAAGAATACTTGATACTATATTTTGGAACTTGAATTATTTGATACTCAATACAATGTCTACTGACCCACAGACAGACATAACAATCCAAGGGTTTCTGAAATTGTTCGCACCCAACTTCATATAAGAATGAAATCTCTGCATTTTTTTCTGCAAGGTATTTTTTAAACTGTTCAGCTTATTTTTTGTGGATTTTACTATTCAGTCTCTGCAGAAAAATAAGCTAGAACCTGAAGGTGTGAGAAGGTCTGTTTGTTTTACAAGAGTGTTCTTTTATGTAATACTAGGAAAAGGTTTTTAATATAAATAATGAAAACTGGAATAAAATTCTTCTTGTAAGAAATATATTTTCCTAACTGCCATTTGTTTGAAATAGATGTCATTAAGGGGAAACTTGACTTGTTCATGCTTCTATGGATTGTTCACTGATAATAAAGTAGAACCTGTCTGGAAGTAAGGGCATGTTGACAACAGTGAAAAAACTAAAGTTCCCTACTTTACTAACCTTGTCAAAATAGGGAAACCAGAGTAAAATTCTGAGCACTTCTCTAGCAGAGGTAACAGTTATCAAGCATGCTCAGTGTGATAAGTATCAAAAGGGGGAAATAGAAGAGGTAGAGAGTCCACACTTGAGGGTCTTAAGCACAGATTTGGATAGGGCGTAGGAGGTCGGGGGAAAGCTTCTTGGATGAAGTGGTCTAAGCTTTAAACAGAGGAGGGAACTCAAGTAAGTGCTCCAGGCAGAAAGCAGCATATTCAGAAGGCCTGGTGATAGTACAGCTGGTTAATAAAGACTTTGGTAAATCATGATAAGGAGTTTAGGTTTTTCTCTTGAAAGCAATGGAAGGTCATGAAAAGGCTTGAAGCACTCAAGAACAGATAGTTATTTCTACTTCAGGTTGTAAAGAATGAATCGGACTTGATTAAGACCAAAGGTAGGAAAATCAGTAAGGGGATTTTGCATGCATTTAACTAAGCAAACCACGATGGTGGCTTGGACTTGGATGGTAACAATGGGCAATGGAGAGGGAATGGATGGATGCAAAAGATAGGAGATAGAATCCATGGAATTGGGTGCTTAGTTGTGTTGGTGAAAGGAAAGGAGAGAGAATTATCAAGAGAGTTGTGTGGGTTCTGGCACAAACTGCATTAATGCCGAATTCATTTCTGAAATGAGAAACTTGGAAGGAGGAGGAGGTTTTGCAGAGAAGAATGATAAGTTCAGCTCTGGACATGTTGAATTAAAGGTATTTGTGAGGCATCTGATAGGTGTCAAGGAGACAGTTGGGCATGTAGGTCCAAAACTCTGGTGAAGATCTGGGAAGGAGCCACAGATTTGGGAGGCATGGGCCATGAAAGCAGGGGTTGGGGGAGTAGGGGGCAGTGTCTGGCTTAAGAATGAATAAGATTGCCTACTGACACATGAAGAGCAGAGGAGAGCCCAGAGACCTCAGCACATAATGACTGGGCAGATGAAGAGCTCCATTAGAGGCCAGATCGGGAAGAGGAAGGCAAGAATGTGGGGTCAAGAAAGCCACTGGAAGCATTCTTAAGAAGCAAAGGGCAATAGCAGTGTCAGGTTTCTGCTGAAAGGATCTGAGAAACATTCACAATCTTAACGAAGACTTGTTTTAGTTTTGTTGGGAATGGCATCATGGCTTTAAAATGGAGTGGAGATTAAGAAAGCAACTATCATGAAATTGATTTGGAGGTCTCCTCCCTGGGTGTCACAGAAGGGAAAGAGTAGAGATGTAGAAGAGCCGTGAAAATCAGGACATCAGAGTCTCTGAGAAGGGATGAAGCATCCGAAAGATCAAGGGCACAGATAGGAAAATAAGCCTTAGGTAAGAAAGACCTTTCCTCTCTTATGAGAGGCTGAGGAAAAGCTAAGCTCAGGTGAAGATAAATATATTGATAAATAATTGATGTGGTGACAGTAAGTTGAGAACTTTATCATCTGATGCCTTTCTCTTGAAGTTGGTGCTAGTAAAGAGGGAGGTAAGAGATTTGAGCAGGCGTGTTAAGTAACTCTGAGAAGAATGGGAGAGATAGAGCTGATTGCTGGGCCTTGTTAAATTGGTGATACTTCTTTAGCAGCCTGGCTAACTTGTCAGGGTTGCAGTGGAAGGACAAGAATTTAAGGCTTCTGACAAAGAAATGGTTGAAATATGGAGTGAATATCTGAATTCAGTTATGAAGGAACTGAAAAAAGTATAGATGTAACAGAATGTCATAGAAAGAGTTGGAGGGTTGGAGGTCTCTATGAGAACTAGGATAGTGGGGTATCTGAGCAAACTGGAAGGACAGGAAATGGTGTTCAGAGCAAGTGTCTGGTTTTACTGTAACAGAGGTCTAACAAGCTGTGGCCATGACAGTGTAAAGCTAGTGTAGAATAAAGGTGAAAGTCATGAAAAAGACTGAAGCAGCCAACACAACATCCACATTGTTGAGGAAAAGATGGATACTGAGTCGGGAGATTTTCAGTTTTGGGTACTATTTAGATGTAAGAATCATACTAAGTAATGCTCCTTTTCATTTACCAAATGACTGTGATTCTGCTAACCCCAAATGAACATAAACAGAACATAAAGTGCTCCTTTGTATCAATGTATTATAGAGAATAAATAGAACAGTTTTTTTTAGAAAAAGATAATTTTGGACTGGCAGTGATCTTGAGGGCATCTATCTTAGTGTTTTTCAAAAAGTTTTAACTACAACCTGCAGAAATACATTTTATATCTCAACCTAGCATAAATGTATAGATATAAAATTGAAACTGTCATGAAATAATGTTTATCCTTATTAAATATGATGTACTCTGTTTTCTTTGTTAGCCTATTTAAAAGAAAATGGCTGTCTTGACCCAGTAAATGGAATTTATAACCCACTGAAAGATCACAACCTATAATTTGAAAGTTTATGGCTTATGTCAACTTTGAAAGACATGTTAGAGCCGGTCTCGGTGTCTCAGCCTGTAATCCCACGCCTTGGGAGGCTGAGGTGAGTACATTGCCTGAGCCCACGGGTTCGAGACCCGCCTGGCAACTTGGCGAGACCTCATCTCTACAATAAATCAAAAATTAGCTGAACATGGTAGCGCGCGCCTGTAGTTCCAGCTACTTGGAAGGCTGACGCGGAAGGATCGCCAGAG